AGCGGTGTACTGAAGGTAGCGCCGAAAGAGTTCGCTGAAGAATTCTCGACTAGAGGGAAAGAGGTGTGAAAACATGACTTGTTGTAACCCGATCGTGTAACGGCTTAGAACGTATTCAGCCTCCTCGGCTGTGTAGCCACAGAGTCTCACCAATTCCAAAAGTTGGCTACAGAACGGCTTCAGTATGGTTGTAGGAGGGCCTTGGTTGAAAGGCCAAAGTAAATAGCGAAAGAAGTTGCCTAAGTTTTGGAGACGAGCAAAACGGTGACGAATGAATAATAAACTCTAAATCTATTGAATGGCTCTGGGTGTGAGCAAACGGCTCCCCTAGAAGTAGTGACTGTTAAGTAGTACGAGGCCAGAGGATGTCCACAATGCAGTTTGTAGCAGGAGCATCTATGTTGAAGATATAAAACGGTGAGTCAGACCAGTGATCAAATCAAGTTATCCGATGGTCGCTGAAGAAAACTGCCAGAGAGCATCAAAGACACAGAAACAGCATCTTCGCATAGTTCTGTTCTACATGATTGCAAAATTCCACAGACTACATGCATAATAAGCGGAATTTCTGGAAATGGATAACAACAGCACTCGGCGCACCTGTTCTTGATTCTTGAAAGGCCCAACACCGAGGCATCAGCACCAGCGTCCGCAGAGACGGAAGCTAGACGCTTATCCTCTTCCAGAAGGAGGCGGAGGAAGTAGTTTCCAACACGAGGTTCAGCAGCCAGACTGTGATAGCGAACTCGAAATTCGGCATGATTCCACGAGACCTCGTTTACTTGAGCTAGAAGACGGGAGACCTGCAGTTCAAATGGACTAGTTGGTGAAACAGACTTCTTGGAAGGACCGTCAAGATTGCCATTAGAAGCAACTGTGGCGTCAGTGTCATCGTCCCCATTTTCACGGGCTTCTAAAGCGGTGTCGGCTGCTTCTGCCTCCTCCACTGGTTCCATTTCATCATAATCTGCTGATGAAACGCCTCCATCATCCTCGTCTTCACGACGGGAATGCGAGAAGAAGTCGCATTCGCGAGAGTATTCACCGATCTCTTTCTCGATTGCATCTTTTAATTCATCACGAGTCTGTCGGGAGTAAAAAAAATAAAAAAATCTTGTGAAGAAAAAATCAACCTGCATTTGCCGCTGCGTTTAACCAGCGCATTAAAACACTCGTTATCACTTTCGAACCGTCCCCAAACAATACGATCCATTTCCTCTTCCACCTCTAGGCACACTGTTCCCCCTTCCTCAATGATACAAACACCCTCTCCTAGACGAGGTGCACAATCGCCCTCACATGTGGTGATGTGACGTGGAAACGGTCAACCTTCCTCGATAGACGCTCCTTCATCAAACAGGCTCACCTCTTGCGCCCTTATGCGGCATGGCAGACTGTGTGGTGGTCAGCAGAATTGAAAAATCTTACAGCCGCCGTTGCGATGGCACGAAAGCCGACTTG